TATATATATATATATATATTTCACTGTCTGATGTTAATTAGAAGAGGCCTTACTGTTAAAGTTGAATCTAGTTAGTAATTTCTGTCTCTAATTGAACACACACACACACACACACACACACACTTACATACAGTACTGTACACACATAACTTGTTTGTTTCCATTGTTGTTCATTTGGCTGTTATTGTCTTTCCTCATATTTGTTTTTAAAGACATGTTCATGGAGGTGTTATTTAGCTATATGCATAAATACCAATATATATGTGGTGGAAAGTGAAATTGTCTTTCCTCTATCTTAGTTTTTATTCCTTTGAAAGGTCTAAGTGTGTCCTACTGATCTCCCGCAGAGTGGCTAGCTTCACAGGGTCCATCGCACAAAATTCGGCACGCCATGTGGTCCCTTGGCCCTGGGCTTGCTGAATATTGCCTCAATTCCAAGTGTTTTTCAGAGCACTGGAATATTTTGAAGTAACTCATAACATGTTAATAAACATTCGTCAAATAAATAATGTACTGCCTGATCTTTAAAAGGATAATTCACCCAAATATGAAAATGGCATCATTTTCTTCTGCAGGATACATAAGAAGTATCCCTACATGTCTATTGTAACATGAGATGAAATTATGAAAGTAAATGATGAAATAATTTTAATTTCTGGGTGAACTATCCCATTTAAGGGCTATCTAATTAAGTCATAGTGTGTAAAACACATAGGGGTACCATTAACCCTACTGAAGTAAAAAAAAAAAACCACACATTTATAACTCCAACAAAGTTAATATGAGTTATTAAATCATTTGGCTGGCTCATTGGTTAGAATTTAGTCTAGAATTTATTAACTTGGCATAGCCTACTTGTGAAAGTAGAGGGAAATTATATATTTAAGCACCATTACTTGCACTGATCATCTTTGAACACTGTTAAAGCTATAATTATTCCTTAGAGAATTAAATTTTAGCATAATAACATGTTTTTATGATATTTTGAATGTCTGTGGACTGCAATTCCCTGCACTAGTCAGAGCCTGCTTGTTTGGAAAATTACCATAGCTGTAGACTTTGTACATCACACAGTAAATATTTGTTCATTTCAAGCACAGCAAACACATTTCACTACCATTGTGCAAGTGAACCAGTACACCGCTTCTACTCCCAGCAGCATAATCTGATCCAGGGAAAAGCAATCTTGGAACTGCACAGAACAATCAGTCTAGAGAAAATACAATGTAGACTCTGTATTGGTGTCTATAAAGGAGATGTTTGGAACGTCATTGCATTTATGTTACAGCAGGATTGTTCACCAGGGGTCCACGACCATAGGTGATCTGCAGCAAGACCACAAGGGGCCTGCCAAATATTGTTTGAAATTGAAAATGTCTAAAACAAAAATACAATAAAGTTAAAGTTCAGAAGTTAAGAATCAGTTTCATTGTGTCTCATAGATTAAAATATATTTATTAAAATTAAAATGTAATGTACAATGACACAACTGACAGACTAATGTACAGTCGAAGTAATGTGCATCAAATGATTCTTTCTGCAGGTTACATAGTTACACCAGTAGGTGAATCATTAAGTCAGGTGATTCGTTCAAACACAGTGATTCATTCAGGAATGAAACAAGTGACTAGTGAGTCATTGATTCATTCTATGAAATGATTCATTAATAACACTGAATAATTTACTGTAGGAACACATGAATCATTGGATTATTCACTCAGCAATAATTCAAGCAAAGCAGTTCTGCTGTGACTTTGGAACTATTTTTGTTGATGGATGAAAAACAGACAAAGCAATACTAAGACATATAAGTCTAAAATATAAGTTACTCAATATTAACTTCTTGTTTATTGAGCTGTTGTACAAAAGCAAAATTTAACAAAATTATTATTATTATTATTATTATTATTATTATGCAAAGCTGAGTGCAACATCTTCAGTTACAATGAAGGCTTTAGAACAGTATCAGAGATAATGACTGATTAGTGTCTTAGCTTTTGACTAAAAAGTATTATGTATCACATTTGTCACAGAATGAATCTTCTATTACTTGGATGGCCTTCTTTATTAGAGTCTTAAGTGAAGGTTAATTTTAATTACTTCTTGCCGCTGTTGAAAAGAACAGGCTGCACTTTTGCAGTGTCTAGTCTGAAAATGCTTGCTTTGTATTTGGAGTTAAGCTACTAATTAGAGCTTCCACAGACTTTCTGTTCTAAGCCCTGCCAACTGAGATGCTTTGTTCGCAGAGGTAGATTTGTCTCAATTTGTTCAAAGTGCCCTCATTACCGTGGAACGGGAGTCATTATATATTCTGCCTTATTACGATAACATCTTCCCCCAACGACCATAACATCACGGCTTTAAAAGGTCTGCCTTCTCTTGTACTCCTAGTATTTTGCTAAGGTTGGTGGGAGTGGGAACCTGAGGTGAGTTGTGCAGTGTTCTTTATTAAGTAAGGTGGGCATTTCCTGAGAATCTCCAGTGGTTATTGTTAACTGTGATGCTGAAATGTGCAATGCTGAAAAATTGTATAAATTTATTAATGTATTAATTTCTTTTTAAATAAGCCATATGAGGAATCCTTGATCTTTTTAGCAGGATAGATACTTTTATTCCATCCTTTATTTTTAACAATGTCCCCAGACATTTAATTCTGACCTTAACATTATAAGTGACACATTTCAGCACAGATTGTTTTGTGAATCTGAAGGATTAAGCAAACTAACAGCAGCAACAATAGACAGTTAAATCCTAATGGTGGAGAGAAGTGGAAAAGGTCATGAAAAACTAAAATATAATTGTTTATTACTTTACAAGTAAACGTAAAAGGTATGATAAAATAGTTGTATTATTATTAATATTATTATGATCAGTTTAAGTTTTCAGAACTTAATCGTGATCTGAAAGTGTAGCATCTAATTGCTTTGTTTTTATATTTATGCATGCACTTATTTGATTGTCATTTGCATATTTTTTTTAAACACTGACAGACCATGTCTCCACTTGGCTTTAAGAGAAGAATCATTGGCCACTTCATAACAAAACTTGGAACGTAAAGGCAGTATTTCTGTCTTGAAGCCGAAATCACAGTAGCAGAACTATGAATCCATTTATCACAGCACTCCACTTCTCCTGCAGCCTGGTGATTTCACACTCTTAAAATATATTAGACAATAAAAGGTCACTGGTTTGCTCCTTCTTCATGACCACTGCCCATTCATATTTCATAGTAAAGATAAATATTTGGATGTTTCGAGTGCTTTAGAATGGAAAAAATAAATATCACCCAATACAATTTTCTAGCACAGCTAAAACCAAGGTCAGAGCAAGGAAGGCCATCTGTTCAAGGTTTAGCCATCAGTGCTGTTGTTTACTTTTGCTGTTTTGGAAAGCTTTTCCCTTTAGCTGGATTTATAGTAGCTTAGGGAAAACACAATAGTCATTTTCAACTTCACAACTTTGATATCCAGTTCTTGATATATTTATGTAAAGTGAATTTAATATAGTAAACAAGCAGACTATAATCATGCATTGTCCTAATAATGACTAAAGATGCTAGAGGTTGTTTGCAGTATTGACCTGCCATTACTAACTGAGTTTTCTATGCATCATTGTTCATCAGGGAGGAGCTGATGATTTCTTCGTCCTTCGACAGTCTGGAAGTGCTGCTCGACTCTTTTGGTCCGGTGCGCGACTGTTCAAAAGACAATGGAGGCTGCAGCCGAAATTTCCGTTGCATCTCTGATCGCAAACTGGACTCCACCGGCTGTGTGGTGAGTTGTTGTTGCCTGTCTCACTTTTAGAGCTGTAAAAAAAATTAAATACAATAAAATAAATGAATTATATTATGTTGATTAATTAATTAATCACATATATTAATATAAGTTGAGAAAAGCCCCCAAATGCAGAGAATTGATTCATTAATTCAAAGGTATTAATATATATAATTGTGACAGATGAGTAAATCATTGATAGACATTACAAACTGACTTTAGAAGTCCATATATTGTTAGTTTTATATTCATATTACAATTGCTCCAATGGTAGAAATCTCATATTGCGAAATTTGCGTACAAGTTGGTACATGATTAATATGAATATTTATTAATATTAATATTTACAGCAAATATATCTATAGCAAATATATTAATATTTAAAGCAAAACATTCATATTGATATTGATATTAATATTAATGTTAATGTTATATATTAATATTCATCTGACGGCTCCAGTTTTTTTATTGTCTGTTTGTCACCTTTTGGAATCCATCTCTTTGCTTACATTTTCCAGCTGTCTTGTTATCTCTCGTTTGATGCAGACTTCTCTGTTTACTTGTTTGCATTCTGTCATTGACTCAAAAAAGAGATAAAAAAGCCATTTCTTCTCGATCTAACAACCGGTATCGTCATAAACTTTACAATGTTTATGCAAATTTGAAGAAAGAACACGCTTTTGTACTCAACTTCTATAAAAAGCATTTACTTTTATAAGTTAGGCCTTCCTTGTCTGCCCGAAGGAGTTTATTTCACTTACCATGAAAAATCGTGTTTGTTTCTTCCATTTCTTTTTTTTTTACATCACACTCACTCTCTTGTCCTCACTTGTGGCTGTTAAGCAGCCATGAAATGAGCCAGGGGCTCTGATTTCACTCACCATCTGGCTGAGGTATGCTTAAAGTGTTTGATTTCTCACTCTGGCATGTGCTATGATTAGTGTGTTTGGCTGGCCCTGCTGATGGGAGGATTGTTTCAGCCAGGGTTTATGAAAAGTGCTGTGTCTCATCCATCTTTCTGACACTCACTTCGTTCATGATCTCCTGCTCATGTTTATGAACATGCGAATCAGGGTTTGTGCAGGTACGTGTCCAACACGAGCCTTATTGGATAACTGTTCCTGTTCCTGTCCATCGTGTTGTTTCATTTGAGAGATATTTGCATTGGTTGTATTTTCTGAATACTGAGTGACAATGGCTGTCATGCATCTTTGTTGTTGTTTTGTTTAGTTTTGTGTAGTTTGTTTAGTTCTGTTGTGTTTTACCAACTTAACAGTTCTTTAAATTAGTGTAAGACTTGTTATTCTAGTTTTTATTTAGTGTGCAAATGGTGCACAGTTAAAATCCTGACTGAATATATGTACGTATATATTTTTAATAAACCGATCAAAACTGGTCACCATGGTTTTTTTGTATTCAATGTGGAAAAATCATTGGAGCAAAATGAGGGTTGGCAGTTCAAAAATGGTTACAGTGTGGTGGACTGCTGACTAGCATACTATAATAATGTCAAAGTTAATAAAGTTATCTGTTATTTTCAATCTGATGTAATATTTTATTTTGTCCTAATAAATAGAGATCTTACTTATGCAAATGTATTTGTAAATATCTTATTTCTTTGTTGTTGTTGTTGTTTTTTTATGCAAGACTATAATGACCCTCGAATCATATTTGTAGATTATGTTAAACATTTCACTGTAATTTAATGAGTTCCCTTTCAGTCGGTCACTCTCGACGTCACGTCGGTGACCGACTAATTGAGATCCCAATTCGTCGGTCACCGACGTGACGTCTCCGTTCCCTCCTTCAGGGAACGAGGGTTACATACATAACCGAGACGTTTCTGTGTCTTGTTATACTCATGAGAGGTTAAAGTAAATAAATTGTAAAGATGAATTTATGCCCCCACGGCGATGTAACTGCAAAATCAAAAGAATTACATTAGCATGTTTTCTAATAGTATTTGCAAGCATGCATTAAAACCAAAACATAATTTGGGGGAGGGATTCATAGGTCAGTGCAGATTGAAAAGAGAGGATGAGCGGGAGGAGTCATGGAATGACTGACAGATGAGGTCATTGCACCACTGAATTCTGCTGGGTCTTCTTTCTCAAATGTATTTGCATACTGAATTGTGATTGATTAATCACTTCTGTCTTGCATCTATTTTTCATATATTCTTTTTGCAAGCAGTGATATTTCCTTCAGGTAAAGCTGGACCGACAGCACCTAACCTGCTTGTAATGAAACAGATGTTATGGCCTTCTCAGTATTTTAAAGAAATCTCAACTCTAAATTCATCCTGTTCATCTTAATCATAACACACCCTTCTGTTGAGCCCGTAGCTTGATGTTTTGTAATTAACAGATGACTGAAGCTATAAAAATGATGCTTCAATCTGTCCAATCATAAGAGCTCGCTACGGGCCCCCCAGAGAGCCTCATTCCCCCCCTAATCAATTAACACCTTGTCTGAGGACAGCAGTGCTACTGCTGCTTCTGTGTTTTAATATCGCAGTCTGCGTGAGCGGGCTCGTTCCAGTCTGCTCTGTCTAGCTAATGTATGGCACTCCTGGGGAGAGGAACAGTGCGCTAGTTTGGAAATACTCTGATAATCGCTAAATGATGATGTGATTAATTAGTTCCTTTCCCTCCAGCACACTAGGTGTTGAGTGCTTTTGTGGGACACAGAGGGGTGCCCACCGTCCGTCCTGCCGTCCACATAAAAAACAAATAGGCTCCTCTTTAGATCTAAGCGAGCCAGCCAGGCATGTTCAACAGACTTTTTGATGTTGCTGACAGATTCTGGTACAGTATGTGAATGAATTATGTGATTGTATGTGTTAGTAGTGTATAAAATCAGAATGGCAATGAATTTTAACACATATGCACTATGGCGGTTTAATGCCAAACTCTTCATTAATAATCATAATAATAAAAATAATTAAAAAACTACCATTGTGATTATTTGTTTCACACCAAATATTTTGTATATGTATTTTTAATATGCCAGACTAGTGAGAGAGGTGTTGTAATAATGTAAAATATGTGAAAAATAATGTGTTTTTCAAACAACCTTGTATGAGAGCCTGTTCTAGTACACCCCCAAAACAAAATCAAGACTTTGTAAAAGAGCATAATAGGACCCCTTTAAGCAACTTGGAGAATGGAGGGATGGATTATTATTATTATTATTATATTATTCTACATTATAACTCTGTGATGTTGGTGGGTTTCCTCCTATGAACTGCTTTCTTCAGGTCCTTTCACAACATTTCAATTGGATTAAGGTCTGGACTTTGACTCTCCCATTCTAAAACATTAACTTTATTGTTCTTCTTTATCCATTCTTTGGTAGAACGACTTGGGGTCGGTGTTTTGTTGCATTACCCACTTTCTCTTGAGATTCAGTTCTTGGACAGCTGTCCTGACATGTTTTTTTTGAATTTGCTGGTCTAATTCAGAATTCATTGTTTCATCAATGATGGCAATCCGTCCTGGCCCAGATGCAGCAAAACAGGCCCAAACCATGATACTACCACCACCATCTTTCACAGATGGGATGAGGTTCTTATGCTGGAATGCAGTGTCTTCCTTTCTCCAAACATAACGCTTCTCATTTAAAACAAAAAGTTCTATTTTTGTCTTATTTGTCCACAAAACATTTCTCTGATAGCCCTCTGGCTTATCCACATGATCTTTAGCAAACTGCAGGCGGGCAACAATGTTCTATTTGGAGAGCTGTGGTTTTCTCCTTGCAACACCATGGTTGTTTAGTGTTCTCCTGTAGATGGACTCATGAACATTAGCATTAGCCAGTGTGAGAAAGGCCTTTACTTGCTTAGAAGTTACCCTGGGGTCTTTTGCATCCTCGCAGACTATTACTAGTGATCTTTGTTGGTGGACCACTCTCATTTTGGTGGATTTTCATCTCATTTGTTTGATTGGGTTCTCTTTGTCAACTTTTAGGAATTGTGTGAAAATTTGATGATCTTTTGGGTTATATTTATGCAAAAATATAGAAAATTCTAAATGTTTCACAAACTTTCAAACAGCACTGCATTTATACACTGGGACTAATGAGATAAATAAAGCACAGGTGAACAGAATGACATAATTAAGACAACTAAGGAAAACGTTACAAACCTGACTGCAAACCTGACTGCTGAGAGCAAGTTTAAGTTGAGGTCATCCACTGGACGTAGAGTTCTCAGTTTTTTTACTGATGCATTCCATCTCTCTTTGACAGCCTGCTCACAATCTCCCCAAAAGCTGTTCTGTCTCCTATCATGTTCTGGCTGTAAAGCACTTTTGAGTTCCTAGTCAGTACTTGGTAAAAGTCTCCTGAGTTCAAACTCGGAAGGAATGATCCAGATGCACAGCAGGGAGGAAACGCCACTGTTTTTTTTTTCCTCCCAGGATCAAAAGGTGGTTTTAAAGGACTGTATCCATCTCTGTGACTATCTGCTATATAGGGACAGTCTGGGCCAACAGGAATACTTGGCCATGCTAATGTAGCGAACTAGACTGTCAGACTGACCATTGGCATACTGAATAAGAAGAAAAATATTCTGTTTGCAGAAAACTCATCAGGAAGAACACTAACTTGTTTAATAATTTGTTAACTTTTTAATTAATTTATTGTAGTGTTACTAGTATAAATAAATGTTGCAGTAGTTGTGGCTCTCTGAAAACTGGTATGATTTACAATTGTTTTAATTTAATTTAAGCGTGATAAATTGTAATTACACTGATTTGCTGATTGCTGTAACAGTCAGCATGCAGTGCAAAACTGTTTAGAATAATGGAAATCTATTGTTTTATTATCAGGGTGAAAATAACACTTGAAAATAACACATTCCAACGATGGACGTTTTAAAAAGTATGTCAGTAAATCTGATCCCTTGTGGTTTTCTGCATGGGTTTATGTGGCAAGAAACAAAGCACTTGCCAGTTTTCCACATTGGCACAATTCAGCCCAGTTAATGTTGAATTCTCTTC